GGGTTTAGGCCACAGGCACCTACCCAGATCTTCCAATATCCTTAGGGGTACTTAGAAATCTTTTTTAATTTGAAACGCTGCGCGTCGTCCGCCTCGGCCCGGCTGTACGCGCATGCGGCGAGTGGCTACTATCTGCAGCAAGCTCTTGTAGGAATTCAGGTTTGAAACTCGCTTGGTACTGCAGCCTTAAAGGCGAGCCCCAACACATAAAGATGCTGCATTGCAGTCCCGTGTCGTCGGAAACTCCAGAAAGCTCGCACCTGTCAGCGAGCGGAGGAGGGGCGGGAGGGGACTGCTTACAGAAAGCCAAAATCCACTAGAGAAGGCGAACAGCAAAAATTGCATTTTTTGCTAGGTTCTAAGTTCAGTATAGTATCCCCTTAGTTTAAGAATATACCTGAGAATGATATTGCAAGAGCCCTATGGAATCTGGTTCCAGGGTAGTGTAGGAATCTGATTGAGAAACTCTGCCCTGATCGGCCCCTAAAAAATGGAAACGTGTCGATGAGCCCCAAGGTCCGGCGGTGAATTTTCGCCTTCTCCAGTGGATTTTGGCTTTCTGTAGGCAGTCCCACCCAATTTTACCCTCCCCCCCCTCCCGCCCCCCCCACTCCCCCTTCCCTCCCGCCCCTCCTCCGCTCGCTGACAGGTGCGAGCTTTCTGGAGTTTTCGACGACACGGGACTGCAATGTAGCATCTTTATGTGTTGGGGCTCGCCTTTAAGGCTGCAGTACCAAGCGAGTTTCAAACCTGAATTCCTACAAGAGCTTGCTGCAGATAGTAGCCACTCGCCGCATGCGCGTACAGCCGGGCCGAGGCGGACGATGCGCTGCGCAGCGTTTCAAATTATAGAACCCCTTATAGTACCCTTATAGTAATCCTTATAGGAACCCTTTAAAAGGGACCCTGAAGGATCCCTTAAACGAACCCCCACGTTCCTAAATTATGCTTCTTATTTAAGGCATTTGGGCAAATCCTAAACCTTAAACCCCGAGACCTAAGAGTAACCTAGGCATAAAAAAGGTGCCCTTTTTGGTTTAAAGGGTGTTATAAGGGAAGCTAGACCCTAAAAAAGGGAATAAGGGCAGATCTGGGTGGCAAACTGTTTCATGGAGTCGAGGCAGCCCGAGAAGTCGAGTGCTCCTGCTTGGGGCAACTAGGGCTATTGGGACTAGGGTTCCTTTGAGGGATTAGGGTTTTAGGTTTAGGGTTGGGGTTAGGGTACTTTCAGGGATCTATATGGGACATTTCTGACCCCAAGGGTCCAAGTACCCAAATAGTAAGGGTTCAAGGTCCAAAAACCATTCAGAGTATGGAATTTGGACATCAAACCCTACTGTTTGGGTACTTGGACCCTCTGGGTAGGTTCCTGAGTTCTATCCTTTTGCCCTTTTTAGTTATCTTTTAGTTTGTTTTTTGTAAAACTAAATGTTAGGATTTAAAGGGATACTGGGGAACCTAGGCAAGAAGCGGACAAAAAGGTATTTGGAAACAGTTTGGCCGCGGAGCTACTGGAACACGGGACCTGTACGTTTCGAGCCGCGATGCTACCGGTCATCATTGCCACCCAGGACATCATAAGGGGCCAAAAGGGGTTTTAGCCTATGGGGGTTTAGTAGTCATTGGGGTTCCCATAATAGGGTTCATATTAAGGAATCCCTACCCCAAGAATCTTAAACCCTAAACCCTAAACAAGGACAGGCAAAAGTCGCCGTCCAGCTCGGGTGCGCACTGCATGGGAGGACGACACGAAGCCCAAAAGCCAAGCTGGGGCAGTTCCGGCCCAGTTCAGTCCTGCAACAGTGGCTCAGTGGCGAACATATAAGCCATGTCTTATATATTGTGTGTAATTTATGTCGTATCTTATGTTCTTTTAGAGGTATCGTGAACATTATACTCTTGTGGTTTCATGGTCTCTTACCGAAATGAATACCAAACAGTTCTCCCTAGGGTTCCTTATTACAACTATGGTACAGAGTACCCCGAAGGCCAACTCTAATCATGAAGGCCCCTAAAACCCTAAACCCGGGTATTTATTCCGATACATAACTTTCTCCAAGGGTAAAAGGAGGGACCCTTAACAAGGACCCCCAGGTATATACCTTAATATAGCTATTATATACCCATTATATAGCCCATTATAGGGACCCAGGGGTCCCCCTCAAGGGTCCTTCCTTTTCCTTTTTGACTTTCGGGGGCCTAAAGCTGCAAACCCAGGTGGTGCCTGTGGAGACCGACACCCAAAGTGAGTCGAGCAGCTCCAAGGATTCTGGGCTCTATAAAGGTCCCTTTAAGGGTTCTATAAGCTTGGCGTTATTCTGGTTGGCTCTTTAGACTTTAACTTTTTGGGTTTCTATATGAACTATAATAAGGAAAGTTTAAGTTTTAGGAGGGGTTCAGAAGTCAGCCAGGTAAGGATTTTGGGTTCCTGTTAAGGAATTTCGGGTTCAGGGGGTTTAGGGTTCAAGGCTTTAGTTATTTAGGGTTAAGTAGGGGTTTCGGGCTTAGGGTGATGATGGATTCTGAGTTCTTGCTAACCTGTAGGCTCATACCCTACCCCTGTTTTAGGGTATCAGCTTTTGTATACAACAGATCCTAACCGTCAAACTAGGTATCCTAGAAAAAGGGGTAGGGTATGAGCCTCTAGGAAGGAACCTGGGGTTTAGGGGGTTACCCTAAAGTGAATGTAGATTGAAGTTCCTTAACAAGACCCTAAACCCCTAAACCCTAAACCCTGAACCCTAAACCCTAAACCCTCAACAAGAACTCAGGATTCGCAGGCTGAGGTCCCTCTGTGTCACACCAAGTTGCTGGGTCAGCCATTGGAACATTTCATGTTTGGGCATTTAGGGTTTCATAGGGGTACTTAGAAATTATTTTTAACTTTTGGTTGTTATATTCCCTAAGAAACAGCTAAAATTGTAATTGTTGCTAGGGTTCTAAGTTCAGTATAGGTTTAGGGTTTGGGGTTTAGGGTTCGCGGTTTGGGTTTTCGGGTGTAGGATTTGGGGTTCAGGGTTTAGGGCTAAGCTTTGGGGGTTCCAGTGTAACTCTTAAGGTTTGGTTAAGGTGTTTCTGGAGGGTGATATAGCGGTGCCAGTGGGTCAGGGTGGTATACTGCGGTTGATGATATAAATCCTGCATTACCCATATTAAGGAACATGCCATATTTCCCGTATTTTAGGGTCATTAAGGTAATGCAGGATGTATATCATCAACCGTGGGTCCTTCATTTAGTACACGCTTGCAGCTTTTGTTTCAGAGCTTCCTTCATAAGTTTCATAGTATAGATGTATTAGGACCTTAACATTAGCCCTATTATAGACTGTTACTGTATGGGGGCAGTAATTACCCAACCTCAACCCTAAGCCCTAAACCCTAAACTCAAGCGAGGTTGCCACAGTGGTACTCCAGCATCGATTGCTGCAACGATGAAATCCTACTCCTGAAGGACATGCCGGGACCCTAAGCTCCATCGGTTTAAGGTTTTAGGGGCTAGGGCTTGGGGGTTGGGGTTTTAGGGTTTAGGGTTTAGGTTTTACGGTATAGGGTTTAGGGTTTTGCGGGCTTAGGGTTCAGGGTTGAATCAAACAAACCCTAAGTCCAAAAACCCTTATCCCTCAACCCTGATACTAAGCCCTGAACCGAAACCCTTGGCCCTAAAACTTACCCTAAACCCTATAAGCCCTAAACCCCAAGCCGCTAAACCCCTAAACCCTAAACCTTATCCGAAACCCCTCGAACCTGAACCCTAAACCCTGAGGCCCCAAAGTGGTAGGGTTTAGGGTTTAGGGTTTAGGGTTTAGGGTTTAGGGTTTAGGGTTTAGGGCCTTTTTGGGATTACCTTACAGGATTCTATATACGAACCCCAAAGAGGAACTACTTTGGGGCCTTTGGGCACTTTGGGCAAACCCTGAAGAAACCCTATAACCCCTAAACCCTAAACCTTACCCTAAACCCTTAGAGCCCTAACACCCTAAACCCTTAGAGCCCTAAAACCCTAAACCCTTAGAGCCCTAAACCTTACCCTGAACCCGGGTAAACCCTGAAGGACAAGAGGAGACAGGAGGTTTACGGCAAAATGGAGCAGCTCGGTTCGCTGAAACTCATCTGGGCTCAGACGAAGGGCTCAGAGAGCTTCAAGTACGCGGATATCCTTCGACCTGCTTAGGGTTTAGGGTCAAGGGTTTAGGGTTTAGGGCCTAGGTTCTAGGATTTAGGAGTTAGGGTTTAGGGGTTTATGGGTTAGAGTCTAGGGTTTATGCAGGCAGTCTTGGGACAACCCAGAAGCGAATCACTTGTGGATCAACTACATAAGGTATGATGGCTCAAAGGATCTAAAGAGATCTGTAACCTGTATCCCCAAACCCTACAAAATAGTAGGTTATGACCCCTTAATTAGAGGGTCGAACCCTTAAAACGGTAGGTTTTTGGATCCACAGGTAAGGGTTTAGCGTTTAGGGTATTGCGCCGGGGTTTTAGGCTTTCGGGTTCAGCCTTTTGGTTTGAACTTAAGCTTACAGCTTTTGGGGATTGGGTTTGAGGCGCTGCTTGGGCTTCTACAGCTAAAGCCCTAAGGCTCCATGTACTCATATAGTATATACTTAGGCCTTAACGTACCTATATAGGGACCCCTTTCAGGCTTAAGTATCTACTATAAAACGTACATGGAGCCTTAGGGAAGGTAACTTGCTACAGCAGGAACGCTGTGGGAGCGTCCCTACAAATGGGATCGCTTTTGCTCGTTTCTGTCCTGTACAGAGGCAGCTAGCATGTGCCGTGCTTGCGAACGAAGGAGCTGCAGAAGACCGGCTGCTCAGAAAGGGACGCGGTTCCGGTCGTTTTGGGAAGTTGGATATCCGGCCCTTAGCTGTAACACCACAACCCACCCCCCCGTTAATCTCTTAGTAGACACCCTACGAAACGCCTTACATGGAGCGTGCAACAAGAAGAGGTTTTTCTAGTTCAAGGAAGGGCAAATGCGTTCCTGCGAAACGGAGGTGCTCACTGCGCGGGAGATCTTTCAGTGGCTCTGTTGCATTTACAGCTGCTATATACACTCCGACACCTTGCCCCTAAACCCTAAACCCCTAAACCCTAAACCCTAAACCCTTAAACCCTAAACCCTAACCCCCTTAACCCTAAAACCTAAACCCCTAAACCTTAAACCCCTAAACCCTAAACCTCTAAACCCTAAACCCTAAACCCTAAGAGCTTTCCCATGCAACCCAGACTTGGAATCCTAAACCTGGAGACCCAAACTTCCCTAACCCCAAACCATCAGAAAAACCCTAGACGTGCACCCACACCTTTCCCTAAACTATAGCTGCTGAGCGAAAGAAGCTACACCCCCGAAGCCGGGTTTATACCAAAACATACAAAAAATGGGTTATGGTAGTTTAAGGTAAAGTGAGTAGCCTTTAGCCAGTTGGGGGGTTTCGTAATCCCTGTGTACCCCCCAGTCTGAAATATCAACATGTAGTCCCCCGAGGAAAAGCTTTAGGGTTTAGGTGAACCCTAAAATCCAAACCTTCAACCCCAAACGCCAAACCCTTTGCCTTAAACAGGGAGGCCCCAGGAAACGAATACGCAAGTTTTCTGATCCGAGAACTGAACATTAGAACCCTAGACTCTAAACCGTAAAGCCCTAAACCCTACAAGCCCCAATCCATATGAGGTCGAGGTTCGTGTGTTCGATTAAAAGTTGAAGGTTTAGGGTGCAGTATTTAGGGTTTAGGGTTCAGGGTTGAGTGGGGTTAAGGTTTAGGGTTTAGGCGGGGTTAGGGTTAAGGGTTTAGGGCGTTAGGGTCTAGGGTTTAGGGTTTAGGGTGCAGGATTTAGGGTTTAGGGTTCCGGTTTGAAGGTTTTGGGTTGAGATCTCCACTTCTGGGTGTTCTTCCTTAGGGTGTTTGGCAGCTTGGAGGGCTTTCAGTGGGGCTCATGCCCAGAGACTCCAATATCCCTTAACTAAGTAATATTCCTTAAATTATAGTAGGATCCCTAATATGATTTAAGGAATCTTCCTTAATTAAGGGATATTGGAGTCGCTGGGTATGCTAATATGTGACTTTTCTGAAGATTTCTGTACAATATATCCCCAGAGCTCGTCAAACATGTGTTGGTTAATATTGTGTCTAGTACATGTGCTAGGATGCAACAGGGTGTTAATTACGGTTTTTTCTGCCCCAATTTGGAGGTGTACCTTGATCGCTGCTGGCAGACAGCCACAGTAAGAAAGTGCCGCAGTGGCAATGGCATGAGGCCCTAAACCTTAAAGTGGCCCGACGCCGCTGTTGGGCCGCATCATCCCACTGGCGCTTCACGAAGACGAGACGCCGAACCCTTGGCAAAGCCAACTTGATGACCAAGGTGACCAACCACCTGATGAGCTCCTCGTACCACATGATGAAGCAAGAGGATGCCGAAAAGGCGGCGGCGGGGCTGAAGTACTACGTCTACACAGGCCTTGGAGAGCAGCGGCACTGGCGAGGGCAAGATCTGGAGGAGCTCTGCCGTAATGTTTATCCGGTCGTCGCTGCTGCCGAGCGTTTGGTCTTTCGGAACAAAGGCCAAACCAAGTCAAGTACGTCTTGGCTTCCTGGAACAAGTATTGAGACCCCGACACGAACAAGGACTTCTTCAGTGTACTGGACTTAGGGGTACTTAGAAATATTTTTTAATTTTTGGTTATTATAATCCTTAAGAAACAGCTAAAATATGACATATTTGCTGGGGTTCTAAGTTCAGTATAGTGAATGGTCGCTCGAGGCACTGTGGGCCGGGAAATTTCTCAGCAAGTAGCTAGTATTATTAGGGAGACCCCTTAAAGGGTACCCTTCTGAACCCTACTTCTGGCTCTCTTAAAAAGGGGCCTTATTGAGAGGGTCTATTTCCCCAAGGGTCCCCCTAATCCTAACTCCCAGCAAGGCTTGGCGAGGCGTTGGCCCCCAAATTACCGTGTACCCCTCAAGAGTCCGTAGATGCCTAGGGTTAAACCCTATGAAGCCTTATTTCAGCGGGTCCAACTAGTAGGGTTCCAGGTCCCAGTATCCATACACTGACTGGCTTTGGGCCCAAAGCCCTACAATTTGGGTGCTTAGACCCTCAAGGGATTGAGCTTTAGGTACCTATAACCCCTAAACCCTAATGCCTTAAAGGAACCCGTAAACATCCCGTATAGATGTCTGAAAGGTAGCCCTAAACCCCAACCCTAAGCCCTAATCCCTTAAAGGAACCCATAAATAAAGGTCCCTGAAAGGAACCCTAATCCCAACCCTAAACCTAATCCCTGAAAGGAACCCTAGTCCCAACCCTAAACCCTAAACCCCTAAATCCTAAACCCTAAACCCTAACCCCCTTAACCCTAAAACCTAAACCCCTAAACCTTAAACCCCTAAACCCTAAACCCTCGACCCCTAGACCCTAGACCCCTAAACCCTTAAACCCTAACCCCTATAAACCCTAAACCCCTAAACCCTAAACCCCTAAACCCTAAACCCCTAAACCCTTAAACCCTTGAACCCCTAAACCCTCGACCCCTAAACCCTAAACCCCCTAAGATCCCTGAAAGTAACCCCTAATCCCTACGGCTGATGGTAAAAATCCTGCATGGCCCATAATAAGGAATATACCATAATTCCCATAGCTTAGGGTCCTTAAGGTAATGCAGGATTTCTATCATCAACCCTAACCCCAACCCTAAACCTAAAACCCTAATCCCTGAAAGGAACCCTAGTTCCAACCTTAAACTTTAAACCCCTAAACCCCTAAACCCTAAACCCCTAAACCCTAATTCTAATCCTTGAAAGGAACCCCTAATCCCTAGGTACTGCCAGTCCATCTCTGACTTCAAGCTCTCTCATGAGGTTACTCGGACAAGGTACATTTTGTTTAATTCCTTCAGGGTTTCTTTAAGGGTTCCTTCAGGGATTCTTTAAGGGTTCCTTTAAAAAAGTAAGCTCTACCCGGACCCCAAGGATCCTACCTTCTTAGGCCTCCCTAACATGTGATTTCTTTCTATATTTCCATAAAAAGGTAGGTTACTTGAGGTTAAGGTATTCCTTAATTCCACCAGGGTTTCTTTAAGGGTTCCTTTTAGGATTCTTTAAGGGTTCCTTTAAAGGGGTTCTACAAGGGATGTAGATTCCTGAATTATGGAGTATAGGTATGAAGGTTCAGGGGTTTTAGGGGTTTAAGGGGGTTGGGGTTCATAAGGTAAGAAGTGTGGGCCCCTAACATGGACCCTTAGACTTTTTTGAAGGAGTTCTATGGACCCTTAAGAGTCTGTATAGGCTTTGTGGTAGGTATATAAGGATCCCAGGATTAACGGCCCATACTAGGGGCCCATGGTTTCAACCGTTAGGTTTAAGGTTTTGTATAGGATTCAGGAAGTTCTGCGGTTACCCGGCTTTGGGCAGAGTCCAAACCCCTCATGTTTTGTGTTTTTTTTCAGGGTTTAGGGTTTAGGGTTTTGTTCCTAACCCTCAGACTGCAAGGCTAGAAATAGTACCTACTTTGGGGTCTGAAGTCTAGAAATGGTACCTACTACGGGCTATCTGCAGTCTTAGGGTTTATCGGTGAAGACACTGATTAAGTAATGGACCTTAAATTAGAGTAGGAAGATCTGAGGTTGCTTTAAGTCAAAGGGGAAAAGGAGGGACCCTTAATGGGGACCCCTACCCTATAATGGGCTATATAATGGGTATGTAATAGCTATATTAAGGGTATATACCTAGGGGTCCTTATTAAGGGTCCCTCCGGGCTTTAGGGTTGAGGGTGCAGGGGTTTAGGGTTGAGGTTGAGAGTGCCGGAATTTAGGGTTTAGGGCTTCTCGGCAAGTTGCAGCCCTTTCAATAAAGGGTTTAGAATCCAGGAACCGTAAGTCCCCAACCCTAAGCCCCGAAGCCTACATTGTTATTGCCGAACCCCTTTACGATAGAAGCCAAACTGGTGTTTCCGAACATAGCGTACCGTACTAAAGTACCCTTCACAGTCAGATCCCTTTTGATAAGGATTTCAAAACAAGGTACTCCCTTTTGATAAGGATTTCAAAACAAGGTACCCCTCATTGTCGGAAACTCCTGTATGAACCAGCACTGAGGGTCCATGTACCCATATAGAGATACATGAGCCCCAAAGTACCTATATAGATACTTCATTAAGGCCAATGTATATACTATATGAGTACATGGACTTTTATACCCTAAACCCTTATCGAACCCTTATAGATCCCTTAAAGGATCCCTTATGGTACCCTTAAAGGACCCTTAGCTATATGAGTACATGGACCCTTAGGGCAGTCTTTAGGAACCTTTGGATCCTTACAGAACCCGAAGGCACCTGTTTAAGGTTTGAGGGCTTTGGGCCGACCAAAGAACAGGGCACCTATAAGGGCTCCTTTTAAAGGGGATCCTTGAGGGCTCCATTGAGGGGTCTATAGGGTTGAGGGTTTAAGAGACTCCAATATCTCTTATGTTAGTCATGGAACAGACCTTAAACCAGAGTAGGATTTCTAATATGGTTTAAGGCATATTTCCTGATGAAGGGATATTGGAGTCTTTGGGTGGAGTGGCTGGATGGTTTTAGCGTCAGGGTTTTGGGGTTTAGGATTTTGGGATATATTCCAATTCACCAACATATGGATTTCAGGCGTGGGGTGTGCTCCAACAACTAGGGATCTTTCTATAGGGTGAGGATGAGGACTCAGCTGTGTTCCCTTCACAGCGGCGTCCTTTCATGTTCAGATACCCAGCTGATACTCATATTTCACCAACTTATCGACGTGGCAGAGCGTCTTATAGAGTTGAAGTCACTGCATAGTCGTATATGTGTTAGATTTGCTTCAACCCCAAACCTTAAATCCTAAAGCAGCTCACCAAGCCCACCATACCCTAAACCCGTAAACCGCTAACCCCAACACCTGAAACCCTACACCCTCTTAGAGTATGCCTTTCTGAAGACAAAGTCATCTGCGGGAGCTCCCGGTAGCCCAAAGCAGGTTTGGGGTTTAGTTTGGAGGTTTAGGGCTTAGGGTTTAGGGTTTAGGGTGCTACTGCTGATGGACAAAACCCTGCATTACTCATTATAAGGAATATACCATAGTTCCCATAGTTTAGAGTCCTTAGGGTCATGCAGGATTTTGTCCGTCAACAGTAGTGACGGCACTGGTACTCTGTCTGCTATCGAGGCCTTACCACTTAGAAAGGGGCCTTCGGGTACATTCTGAGTTATGTAGCATAATCATCTTGAGGAGCCGTAATTTAATAATGAATCGACTTATCATTGCTTCCGACTTCTCTAAATTGCTTGTAAAGTTGATGAGGCAAGGTGCTCCTCATCCCAGGCCCTATAAACCCTCAACCCCCCTCTACTATTCGTCAAGCCAAAGAGTGTCCTTTGCGTCATATTCCCCAACTAATAGGGGCTACAAGTGCATGCACCTGCATAGTTTTTACATTGATCCTAAGGTAGTCCTACATAGGTACTTTAGGGCCTCAAAGAATCTACATACTCCTTGAGCACATGAACCCTTACAGGGTAAGCGGTTTTGGAGCCTCCGGTGACATCATTCCCAAGTTCTAAGGAAGTGGAGCGCGGAGTGCAGAAGCCCATTAGCGTGGAGATGTGGTGCCACAGCTTTACACTCACCTGTATCCCCAAACCCTACAAAATAGTGGGTTATGACCCCTTAATTAGAGGAGCCCTAAACCCTACACCCCAAAACCTATAGATCCCTTATAGGAACCCGTAAAGCGGAGGTTTTTGGATCTCCAGGCAAGGACCCAGGTCCCCAACAAAGCAAGTTTAACGACTCCAAAAAGGGTTTAGTCAGGCTTAAAGAGTTTAGGGTTTAGGGGTTTACTGAATTTTGTAGGTCTTGAGGTGCCAGCTACGTAGGTTTCCGGGGAGTAGATGATATATGTTGGGTGCTTGGACCCGAGCTTACCAAGTCCGCAAAGAGCCAGCGCTCTAATTGCCAAAACTTCTGGCCACACGGTAAACCTCAAATCCTAATCTCGCGGAGTTCTCAAGCCGTACCTGAGGTTCTAAGGCCCTACCTGTAGCCGAAGACACATACCTTTTCCGAGACATGACGACATAAGAATAAGAAAGCTGAAAGCCCTTAAATACCAACTAAAGCGCTTCCAGATGATTTTCGGGAGTTTGTGAATTCGTAGGGCTTTTCCCGCTGGGTGCCTGCATCCTGTCCGATCAAAAGAGCCTCCTGGTCCCTTCCTGATTTGGGGGTCAGGGGTTTAGGGTTCAGCGGTTTCGGGGTACTACTTGGAGGGCCACGACTTCCTACGTTTTTGGACAAAGTGCCCCAGGTAAACTTGACACCACCGAAGCCTAAAACCTACAAGTTTAAACCCAACCCTATACCTAAGTACTGCCCCCATACAGTGGGAGTCTAGAATAGGGCCACTATTAAGGTCCTAATATATCTTTATTCTGAGTATTATTCTACTATTGCTGAGTGGGGGCCGTACCCAACCTTATACCTAAACCTAAACCCCTCTTGGAGGCCCTGTTGACCTAGTAAGTCTACTTAGTATCCCCTAGAAACCCCATTATAATCTCATAACCCACCTTACTAACCCTACTTACTAAGTCAAAAGGGCCTCCAAGCTAAACCCTACATCTGATTGCCTTGAAAGACCCTGCAGCCTCTTATGTCGAAACCGTATAGACCTCCGCCCCCAAAAAAACACAAGGCACCAACAACAACGACGAAACGTTTCGATGTCAGAGAGACGGTATGAAATTCGAAAGACAGACGACTTGCAGGGAATCAAAAGCCGCCATAAACTGAGCCCCTATCACCAAAACCCGAAACCCTAACCCTTCAACCTTAGAAAACCTGGTAAACAACTCCATAGCAACCTTGGAAAAGTCCTACACAACCCCCATGAACATCCCATAAGACCCTAAGCCATAACCCAGAGGGTCCAAGTACCCAAATAGTAGGGTTTTAGATCCCAAAATCCATACTCTGAATGGTTTTTGGACCTTGAAACCCTACTGTTTGGGTACTTGGACCCGAAGCCATAACAACCTGAAAGGTGCGGCAAGCTCTCCCGCGCCCTCGAGGAAATGGACTCCCAAAGGGGAACCCAGGCAACTCGGTGATTGCAGCGAGGGTTCCGTTGTCGGGGTCCTATGCAGGATTCTTGTTAGGGCTCCTGGAAGGGTTTGTAGGGTTTAAAGCAGGAGCATGATTAAGAAACTCTGGGCCTATAAATCCAAATTAAAAAGCGAGGCTGACCTTTCGGGCGATGCAGAAAAGGAGCTCAACAAAAAGAAAAACCCAAATTAAATAAAGGCCCAAGGTTTCTTAATCAGGTTCCCACACGAGGGGTTGAGGACGAGGGGGTGTGGTGGAGTTTGAAGCGGATGGGAGGCTGCAGGCCCCTAATCCAAAGAATCCTATGTACCGATATCGTAGAATGTAGGGTTTCCATATAAGGAGTTACTTTTACGACTTAGGGAAGTATCCCCCAATAACAGTACACAGGATCCTTTGAGTAACCCTCAGCCAACGTAGGCCCTGCCAGGACCCTATAAAACCCGGGCTCCTTTCTTGATATGTAGTAGGGTTTATGTTATATGACGGTTTCGTTGAGTTTTTTTTTGTAGTGCTCCTTTTTGAGTATGGGTCAGTGTATATTTTGGGTGTTAGTATGTGGATAGTAGTGAAAAACTCATCCCATGTGAGTGGTTAAGGTGTGCTCTGACAAACCCAAAACCCTGAACACCAAACCAACCCGAAACAAACTTCACCTTAAACGACCACAACCTACGTTTCCTTGTCATAGACCCAGAGGACCCAAAGTGGTTCCTTTTTGGGATTACCTTATAGGATTCGATATACGAACCCCACAAAGGAACTACTTTGGAGCCTTTGGGTAGACCCAAATCTTGTGTTTGCACAGACCCTACTGCAAGACAGGCGGGTTTGGTAGTTCATGGTTTCGTCTCCCAAGCTTCCGATCCCTGTGCGCCGTGCGTTCCTTCGCGTGCTGTTGAGACGTTGCCACGGTGACCTGAAATTTAGGCTTTTCCCAGCGGGTCCATATGTACTACCGCTGTGGAATTAGATCCCAAAAGAACGGCCTAATTATGGTTTTGGGGACCTAGCGCCACGATGGTAAAAATCTATGAATGCTCTGGCCATCATAGCAGATTCCCACTCTGAGCAGCTTAGCACTACCGGCTGTTTTGCTCCAACTGAACGTAGCACAGCTTGAGGCACCAATAGCCTGACTTACTCATGGCTACGCATGAATCTTCGCATAATCATCCAACCTTAAACTTTCAAACCTAGGGCCTAAGCCGTAAACCCTCCTAATCAAACGCTGAGCCTGAAACACTACCTGAACTTCAAAGCAACAAATCGAAGCCCCTACACCCCAAGCTCTAATGCAAACCTCCAACAACTTAAACCCCAGACCCTAAAACCCTAAACCCTAAACCCTAAATCCTGAACCCTAAACCCTAAAACCCTAAACCCTAAACCCTAAAACCCTAAATCTAAGGCTTGCACTCCAAATCGAAAACTGAAACCCGAAACCGATAGCCACAACTGAGAGCTCTGAACTCCTATGGTCCTTTCAAGGGGTTCCTTAAAGGGCTCCTTAAAGGGATCTATAGGGCTCCTTAAAGGGCCCCTTAAAGGGATCTATAGGGTTCTTTAAAGGGATCTATGGGTTTTAGGGTTTAGGGTCTACTTGGAGGGGCAAGGGACTTAGTAAGTCGTTTATAAGTAGGGTGATAATTGGGGTAACTCCATTTAAGGTACTTTTTACTCTACTTATCACCTACTTACTAAGTCCCCTGCCCCTCTAAGTATAGTGCCCTGGCTAACTTACACAGGAAGCCTTGCAGAACCCCTCCTTCTGAAATTCACCCAAACCCTAAATCCTAGACCCTGGGCGCTTAAATCGCAAACCCTATAGATCCCTTCGAGGGTTTCCTTTATACCTTAGGGACGACATGAACCTTAAAGGGTTTTAAGGATCATATTCCATACAGGGATATAAAGTATACTTGTAGAGGAATTGTGATTTGGTCCTTAAGGTAAGTAGTTAAACCCCTATAGTACCCTTATAGTAACCCTTATAGATCCGCTTCAAAAGGCACCCTAAAGGCGGGCCTTTGCTTTTTAAGCGTCGTTTGGTCCTTAAGATAAGGAGGCCTTCTAACCCTAAACCCTAACCCTAAAGCCGACCTGTGGATCCGAAAACCCTACCGTCTTAAGGGTTCTACTCTCTAAGTACGGGGTCAAGACCTACTATTTTGTAGGGTTTGGGGTCACGGGTAAGGGTCACTTGGTCCTTAAGGTAAGGAGCCCTTTCAGCCCTAAACCCCTAAACTCTAACCCTAAAGCCTAAGGCTCACTTGGTCCTTCAGGTAAGGAGCCCTATATGCCCTAAACCCCTGATCTCTAACCCCAAAGCCTCAGGGTCACTTGGTCCTTACGGTAAGGAGCCCCGAAGCCTGCGAGGCGCGAAGCGATCTGGTGGGATTTCTGCGGAAGCTTTGTCCTTCGGCTTCGGCCAGCAAGGAATTCTGTTTGTGAGGGTTTAGGGTTTATAGTTAGGGTTTAGGGGTTAGGTTTTTAGGGTTTAGGGTTTAGGTTTTTAGGGTTTAGGGTTTAGGGGTTCTACAGGAGGTTTGGGGTTTAGTGTTTCGGACTTCGGGGTTCTGCAGCAGGTTTGGGGTTTAGTGTTTCGGATTTAGGGGTTCTACAGGAGGTTTAGTGTTTAGGGTCGAGGGCTCCAAGTAGCTCACAGCAGGTACTTTCTACAGACTTTCGCCGCCAAACTAGGTAGCACTCGTATACTTGGAGCCATGGGGACAGAGGCTCTTGATTCAAGAGTACCTTAGACCCCCGGCAGGATAGAATTCGTAGATTCCTGAATGGGGGTTCCTATAAAGTACCTTTAATACTGTAGTATTGGGCCCCAAATTTATTGGGGATCTACTTTCCCTTATAGATCCCTAAACCCTAAACCCTAAAGGATCCCTTAAAGGAGCCCTTTAAGGAACCCTACTAAGTCCCAAATTAGGGGATCTACTTTCTAGATCCTCCGGGGGGTCTGGGAAGGGCTCCTTCAAGGGCGCCTCAGATCGGGGCTCTCTGCAGAGCTCCTTGATAGATCCCGTAAAGGAGCCCTGCCCTTATTCCCTTTTCCAGTGTTTCGGTTCCCTTATAACCCCCTTTAAACCCAAAGGGGCCTTTTTATTCCTGGGTTACTCTTGGGTTTAGTCCTTCTTTAACACGGGGTCCTTGAGGGGTTCTATAGGCGTTCAGGGAGCTTGGGGAAACTTTGAGGGTTGCGGGTTGCCGGGTGTAGGGCAGGGGTGTTAAGGGTTTGGGGTTTCGTGTACCCGAACCTTCCAAAGTCCTGTTCTTAAGGTATCATTGTATACCTTGAATCGTATTAGGGATCCTGGGACTACAGGAAAATTCGTTAACAAAGGGTCTAGGTAGACCTCCGAGTAACACTGCGCTCCATTACTCTGTACGGATTCAAACGTTAAGGCCCTTAAAGACTCAGAGGTGTAATTGCAGCCTACCTATAGTTTCATGCCCTACCCCTTCATACCTTTGTATATAACGGATCCTAACCATAGAACTAGATCCTAACCAGAAAATTAGCTACACTGAAAGAAGGGGTAGGGTATGTTCCACTGGGTACAGTACATAAAACACTACACCCTAACTCCTAAACCCTAAACACTAAAGCCAACAGTACATAAGCCCTACTATAGGGGCCTTAAGAATTACCTATACTATTTTGTAGGTTTTTGTCATTATAAATATGGTATAGTGGGCCGCCAAACCCTACCCTAATTATTAAGGCTCCTATATTACACACTATAAACGCCTAGAACTCAGAGTAGGCCTTTATTCCCTTTTGGGGTCTAGCTTCCCTTATGTATACCACCCTTTAAACGAAGAAGGGCACCCTTTTTATTCCTATGTTACTCTTGGGTCTAGTATAGGTGTCCCTTTAAGGGGGGCTATTCCTGAACTCCCTTGTAGAACCCTTATAGATCCCTTTAAAAAAGCCTTTAAGGAACCCTAGGCTACTCTTAGCATCAATTCCCTTTTTTAGGGTAGACCCTAAACCCTAAACCCCCATAAACCCTAAACCCTATAGCCCCCTTAAAGGAAGCCCTATAGTTCCATTCACAGGAAGCTATAAACGCTGAACCGGTACAGTATTGATCAGAGCAAATCTTCAGACTTGGGGCTTCTTTGGCCTCGAAGCACAGCTCCTGCGGTTCAGGGTTTAGGGTTTGGGGTTTAGGGTTTTAGGGTTTGTGGTTCTAGGGTTTAGGGTTTTAGGGTTTAGGGTTTTGGGGTTTAGGGTTTTAGGGTTTAGGGTTTTAGGGTTTAGGGTTTAGGGTTTTAGGGTTTTAGGGTTTAAGGTTTAGGGTTTTAGGGTTTTACGGTTTAAGGTTGAAGGTTTAGGGTTCTGCTTGTGACCTCGTGCATAACGAGCCCCACCCTAACCCGAACCCTACCCCTTTCAAAAGAAAAGGAACCGTACATACGACTACCACTACACTGAGGCCCCAAGGCGACACCGGCGCACATCCGCATGTACCAGTCGTGGCTGCAGGCCTTGGTCCGACATGAATGCCGGATGTCACAGTGCTGCAAGCCTGCTTTGTGGTGGGTGTATGTGCTTATACATACATACGTCCCCACATACATACATACATACATACATGCATACATACGTACATACATATGTATAATATACACCTCATACATACACGTACGGAGTATGTTGCAGTTGCCTCTTATCACCTACTTAACCCTTCACGCCTCGCTCCCTCATCACATCCGAAAACCATATAAATCTTATTCAACCCAGTCACACCGAGGCAATCGTCAGGAGCCCCCCAAACCTTAAACCCCTTAAAGCCATCGTCAGGAGTTCGATTCCGGCGTGGAGCTCAAGAAGGCTCTAGACCTGTGCCTTGGATGCTTTGGGCACGTAATATTGGGGCCTTACTGTAATACTTACCCATTCTATTTTAGGGCTCCTTGTTCAAATTATAGTATACTATACCCCAAAGCCCGAGTCTAATTGTTAAGGGCCCTATAGTAACCAGGATCCTGGATTGACAACTTTCCGTCCAGACCCTAAATCCGAAACCCGCTAATCATCAAAGCCCTAAACCCTAAACCCTCCGTCCATACCCTAGACTTCTGTCCACGGACTGACGGATCTGACAGTTCCCCGTCATGCTGATTTTGAGTTGGCGCAGCGGGGACCTCAAAAGGTGGGATGAAGGTTGGTGGGATATTCCCAAATAAGAACCTTGTGAGGCCTCCGAAACAAGCGGCGGAGGACTTGGCGCGGTCGTGATCATGTGCGGAAACGAGACCGCGTGAGAGATGGACGAACTGGTACCCCGCCCCTACGGCTCCATGTGCCCATATAGTATATACATAGGCCTCAAAGTACCTATATAGAGACGCTTTAAGGCGTATTTGAGTATCTACTATACAGGTACGTGGAGCCTTAGAAACTGGTACGGCCGAGGAGGAATCCCTCGACTCGGCAGATCTAAAGGTTTGCGCCGCGAAGTTGCTGCGTGGTATCCTTCGCCTGTTTTCAGTTTTCCTATAGGTTTCTTTATCAAAACCCAATGGGGGTTTCCGAATTTGTTTTGGGGTCCTTATACTAAGGATTCTACTATTCGGGGTATTATATTAGGATCCCCTATTTTCGGAAACCCCCAAATAAAAGTACGATAAAGGGTACCCTTATTATTAATCCCCAAACCCTACACAATAGTAGGTTATGTCCCCTTAATTTGTGGGTCTAACCCCTAAAACGCTAGGTTTTTGGATCCCCAGGTAAACCCTAAACTCACTTTGCCGAGGGGCCACACGATGCTCCAGATCTTCCAATCCTACTCCGAAAAGCCGGCAGCCTCCTCGGCCAAGCTTGGCTGTAGAGGGTTTAGGCTTTAGGGACCGTTTATTTCAAGGTTCGTGGGCTCCTTCACGGGGGACGAGGAGGCGGTCCCCTTTGAGGGCGTTTAGGCTTCTCTGGGTTGAGGGTTCAGGGTTCTTTAAGCTTTCTGTGGAGGGTTCAGGAGTTTATTTATGGGGGTTAGGGGGCTGAACTTTAGGATTTAGGGCTGGTGGGCTTTCGGTTTTAGCAGGATTCAAGATGCCTTCCCTTTAGCCAGTGTCCCCGGATTGGAGTTATTTTTCTGTTACCCCCTTAAGGCAAAGCATGAGGGATCCTAGCCCTAATCCTCCACAAGCCATGTTCCAACTTTCTGGCTTCTGCTATACCTAAACCCGAAACCCTAAACCATAAACCCCCTCCTTTAGTTTAAGGAGCATGTCCCTTTCATGCCCTTGACTTTGAAGGCTTACAGTGTAAAGAACATATGTCCCTCAATGCCACCCTAGGGCCCTAAACCCTTAACGCTTGAGCCCGAAGTCCAGAGCTGTTATTGGGAGTTTGAGGTTTAGGGTTCAGGGTGTACAGAGGTTTGGGGTCAAATTTTATTTGGGGCTTTCACGGCTCAAGCCTTACCTGCCAACTTGTGGGTCCTGGAATATGGGGCCTTTCTGTTCAACAGCAACAGTCGGCGAGGAACATGTTTCGAGCCATCCGCGCGTTATATGCGACTTTCCGAAAATAGGGGACCCTACTATAGTACGCTAAATAGTAGAAGAATCCTTATTATGAGGACCCCAAAATTACCCCTAATTTTCGGAAACTCCCACATGCGCGCCCGCCAGAGTTCGAGCTGGTAGGTCAGAAGCTTTCTTACCAACAGCCTCCACGCAGCCAGTCGTACTTCTCCACTTGATCTTCGGACGGGTGACTGGAGTTCTCAACATCGAGGCCGCTTATAGTGAACCCCAGAAAGTTCGAACATGGATTTAGGATGATTAGTGCTGGGATTCCCTCTACTCTACCTGAAGGGCATGAGGATAATGATGTTCCAACTTGATGTAGCCCTAAACCCCGGGCCCTTTCTCGTTTGCCTTGTTTTGGGAGTGCAAGTGGGCCATGCGGTTTTGGGATTGGGGTTTATCGCATGGATCCGACAGCTCCTGGTCCTTACAAGGTGTTCTGCTCATCTCTCAGTTCTGGGGTTTGGGGTTTCGGGTTCAATAGGAGGCCAAAAGGGGTTTTAGTCTAGGGGGGTTTAGCAGGGGCTAGGGTTCCCATCATAGTGTTCATATTCAGGAACCCCTAATCTAAGAATCTTAAACCCCCCCCTGTTGGCTTCCCATCAGGGTTCAAGTTTGAAGCTGCCAGGGGTTACACGGATGTCAGGGCTGGTTAAGGAGGGACCACGGGTGCTATCTCGGGATCACACAATACTCTGGTACTGAGTAAGGTCCTTAGTTAGGAATCACGTCAGCCTCTTCGGACTGGTATTCTTAGTAACGGGTTCAGGTTTTGGGGTTTATGTTGGCAAGTGTTCACACTGCAAGTGAGCCAGTGAGGTTATGACTGACCGAATCCGCAACGAGCTGGATGCAAGTCGCTCAGCCCAGCATTGATGGAAGCAGTGGTGCAGAGAGTTGGCTCTCACCCAAACCCGTAGAGTAAATCCCTGAAGCTTCAAACCCTAAAGCCCTAAACCCTGTAAGCCGTGAAAGCTCTAGATCCTGAATCCCTAGCCTAGACCCAAAACTCGGGTGTTCGAAGACCATCTTGCCCTGATCCGGCTTCGGTGTTTTGGGTCAACGGCTGAAGGGTCAAACTGCCATACTAGGGACTCATCGTATAAGGAGGCTTCAGTGTCAAACATACCATATATAGGGATTCATAGTATAAGGGTACAGGGCCCCTAAGCCCCAGCGCCTATAAACCCATATGTTATACCCTAAACGAACGGGCAATTGGCCCTTAACGTCATGCATCTGGAGCCGCAGCGTTGATTGGGAGTGCTTACAGACTTTAGGGTTCAGGGTTTAAGGGTATAGGCGGTCTTGTTTGGGCTCAAGGGTTTTTAGGGGTTTAGGGTCTATGGTTCAAGGGTTGATAAGGCTTTGAGGACTTTGTGTTTAAGGGTTTGGGTTTTGTTACTGGGTTTCGGATCTCTCAACTCACCCTCATAGACACCTTGTATGAACCCTTGTATTGGAAGATCTGGGATGGACCCAAAATCCCAAATCCAGAGCCCTAACCCCGAGAACCCTTACAGTAGAAGCCCAAAAGTTGGAAACCCCATAGCCTCAATCCTTAAGAGTCATGTACAGGTAAGCCAAGCACTATTTGGCCTTAATCTGGTTTCCAACTTTGTGGGGTTTACTGTAGAGCCATAATATAAATCGTATTAATACAGTACCCTGAATCGTAGGATACTCCTTTTAAGGACCCCAAGAGTAAGTTGCCCTAATTTTCGCAAACTCCCACATGGGTTTATGGGGCTTACTGTATAAGGGATCTATGGTGCTTTCGGGTTTACAGTCTGCTCAAGGATCATGGGACTAAGTAGCTAGGGTTCGCTTTTGAGGGTTTCCACTTTGTGGAGTTTACTTGGAGGGTCGGAGGACTTAGTAAGTAGGTAGTAGGTAGACTTATAAGTAACCTAAAAGGGACCCTACTTGGGGTTATGGTACTTATAAGCCCCCCAAAATAACCAGCTACTAAGTCCCCCGACCCTCCAAGTAAGAACCCGAAGTCGGTGTAAGAGCGGAGAGCAAGTTCCCTCGTGTCTGGCAACTGAGACTTCGCGAAGATCAACAGGCCGGTGCTTCGAAGTTCTCTGGGTTTTTCTAATACCCCAAGCCCTACAGCCTAAACCCTGGCCCAAACCAAACTCTAAACCCTAAAACCCCAAACCCTAAACCCTTTAAAAGGGTTTCAAAGGATTTAACGGGGTTGACAAAAGAGGGTCGAAAGGCGCTGAAAAGGGTTTACAGTAAACCCCATGAAGTTGGAAACCGGATTAAGGCCAAATAGTGCTGGGATCCCCTATACATTACTCGTAAGGATTGAGGCTGTGAGGCTTCCAGCTTTTTTGGGGCTTCTACCGTAAGGGTTTAAAAGGGGGTTTATCGGGATCTGTAGGACTGTAGGGGTCCATGGGAGTCTAGATGGAGTCCATAGGGCTTTCTCGGGCTTGCAGAGCTTTGGTTTTAGGGTTGTGGTGCCTAAACCCTAAACCCTAAACCCTAAACCCTAAACCCTAAACCCTAAACCCTAAACCCCCTAAACCCTAAACCCTAAACCCTAAACCCTAAACCCTAAACCCTAAACCCCCTAAACCCCTAAACCCTAAACCCTAAACCCTAAACCCTAAACCCTAAACCCCTAAACCCTAAACCCTAAACCCTAAACCCTAAACCCTAAACCCTAAACCCTAGGCCCTAAACCCTAAACCCTAAACCAGAACTTTGGGTTGAGGGGCTTTCGGCTTAGCAGGTTGGAGTTTCGAGTTTTCTTTGTTTGAGGGGTTCGGGGTTTAGGGATGTTCTGAGGTCCCTTGGGATCCGAAAACCTACCGTTTTAAGGGTTCTACCTTCTAATTAAGGGGTCATAACCTACTATTTTGTAGGGTTTGGGGATACAGGTCAGCCTGGCAGACCCTGTTCAGCTGGATCGTTTGCGATGCTTGCTGTTTGTTGTCGGGTGCTCTGTTCGTTGGTTGGTTGCCCTTGTCTTATCCTGGTATGACTCTGGGCGGTCAGGGGCCTCCGCCACAAGAGTTCGGGGGGTTCGGAAGTCCAAGGTGACCGTCGCGACCCTGTAGGCCCAAAAATGAAAGCTTACTGCATGCAAAACGCAGAATCCAAACAGCAGAACTTGTAACCCTAATGCCGTGCAAGACCGAGAAGTCAACCATGTGGTTTTGAAGCGGCACCCATGTGCCAGACCCCAAGCATTGAGCCGGGACCTTCGGGAATGCATGTGAAACAGGGACATGTAACCAACAAATGGAATCCAGCTTCTGGTTAGTTTTGGGCCGGGACTTAGAGAATAGGAACCTTCGTATAGAAATCATGACCCCGAGCACCACTTCATCCCCAAACCGCACCATACATACTAGCAACATGGAATAAGGTCCCCGGAAGCATGCTTCGAATTGTCTCGACCTAATCCAACAAGGATAGTATCTGTGGACCCTCCGGGTAATGTAGAAGCCGAGAAGAGATTTGCCAGACTTGTGTAAGAGTTTCACGCAGGGCCTCACTGCTTGGAATGTGTCGGTCGGGTGATTAGAACTGTATGATGATACAAGGACTTTAAGGTCGTAGACTGGTTGGTGATACATAGCATTATGAAGAAAACCGCCGCTCAAAGCACAACCATTCCAATTGTCCAGGCCGTTGTAATGTATAATTAGATTGGTAGTATACTGGTGCACTACTAGGTATTTGGGACCTCTCAAAACCATCGTAAGCCCTCAACTTAAGCTCGACATTCTAAACCGCACACCAAAAGCCATAAACCCTACACTCTACGCCCTAAACCTCAAACCCTAAACTCTAAACCCGAAGCTGTCCTCTAAGCTATAAACCTCAAGCCCTAAACTCTAAACCAGGAGCGTATGTCTGCATAGGCAGACTAGGGCGACCTAGCCAGTACACTTTAAAACAAACCCGAAGCTGTCCACCCTTCCCTAAGGCTCCATGTACCTTTATAGTAGATACTTAAGCCTTAAAGGGGTCCCTATATAGGTACTTTAAGGCCTAAGTATGTACTATATGGGTACCATGGAGCCTTATACCCTATAGAACCCTTTTTAAAGGACCCCTTTAAGAAACCCTATTACTATTATGGGTACATCTTACTACTATATGGGTACCATGGAGCCTTAGGGCTTCACAGGGTGCAGGATCGCATCACGACGGCGGACTTAAAAGCTGCGATGGCTCCTGGGCTCCGACTATGGCTTTTCTTTACCTAGGGCCTTCAAGTAGGGTTCAGGGTTTAGGGGTTGGGGGGTTTAAGGGTTTAGGTTTTTTTAGGGTGTTTTTTGGTGGTTTAGGGTTTTTTTGGGGGGTGCAGGGTCTAGGGCTCAGGGTTGCAAGTTGCATTTCCCACATGCCTGTCTTTGAAGGGCCTTGTTTTGAGACTCTGGGCACGTGGACGCATGGTATCGGGTTCAGAACCCTAAACACTAAACCCTAAACCCCTAAACCCTAAACCCTAAACCGGGTTCAAGACGGGGTCTCCAATGAGGAGCAGGCCCTGAGGCTCCATGTACCCATATAGTAAGATGTACCCATAATAGTAATAGGGTTTCTTAAAGGGGTCCTTTAAAAAGGGTTCTATAGGGTATAAGGGTCCATGGTACCCATATAGTATATACTTAGGCCTTAAAGTACCTATATAGGGACCCCTTCAAGGCTTAAGTATCTACAAAACAGATAGATGGGAGTTTCCGAAAACAGGGGAACCCAATATGGCAACCTAAATAGTAGGCTCCTTATTATAAGGACCCTCAAATTAGGTTATTTTCCGCAAACTCTCACATGGAGCCTTTTGGAGACAGGCCGAGCAAGGGGTGTAGTGGTTCCTCTTCAAGGCCCTTGAAGGGCCAGGGCTGACGAGGGTAATATAGCAGGAGCCTTTAAAGGGTGCCTAGGGTTCTGGGTTTAGGGTTTAGGGTTCTGGGTTTAGGGTTTAGGGTTCTATAAGGGCCCCTTTGAAGGCTACTTTAAGGGTACTACAAGGGTTTTGGTGGGTTTGATGTAGGAGCCAGATTAAGAAACCTTGGGTCTTCCTTAGGGCTCCTTATATGAATTCCACCGTTTTGGGGATATAGGCCCAGGGTTTCTTAATCAGGAACCCTGGGCTTGTTGTCCTTTAACGGACAACTATGTCTGAAGCAAGTCTGTTCAGAGTTCACTTGAAGGTATGTGCTTAACTTATGGCCCGTACCATAAGACCGAATCCATCCAGCGCCAAGGAGGTTGGAACACGCACTGCCAAGGACATGATGCAGTACTTCGACACCAACCGTTCTTTGATTGCAGAGCATCTCAGGTTTGGAGTTAGGGTATTATTATTCGACCTGACCAACAACTTGAAACTAAAGAACCCAGACCCTCAACCCTTAAATCCAACTGTAGCCCCAAATAGATCAGCTTTTACGAAATTATAGAAGGAAATCAGGTTAAAGAACCCTAGGAGGGTGGGTTTCTTAGGGTGCAGGAAAACCCCAATCCCCTCCGGAGTTGCCTCACAGCCTGGAAGCGCCGCTCCTGCGCGCTACGGCCCAAGTCAAGAGAGCCCTCCCTAAGGCTCCATGCACCCATATGGGAGTTTCCGAGAATCAGGGGTGCTGTTAAAGTATCTATATAGGGACCCGTTTTAACGCTTAAGTATCTACGATACAGGTACATGCAGTTTTGGGGTAGAGCGGTTTAGGCTTATTGTAAGCGTTCTAAAGGTTTCAGGGTTTAGCTCTCAGGGTGCAGGATTTAGGGCTTCGGGTCTACCCAGACCTTCTAAAGCCCTTTAATCAAGGAATACAGTAGGATGTCTAGCATGATTTGAGGTATACTCCATAATTGACTTAAGTTACCAGATTTTGAAGGTCTTAGTGGCTGAGTAGCTATGACACCGGCATTTGGCGGGCTAGCCCCTAAGATGTAGCTGCCTGGATTCCCAAACAATGGCTGGGGATCCCAAAACCGACCGTTTTGATGGCTTGACTCTATAATTAACTTGGCGTTCTTCTGGTTGACTCTTAGGACTTTAACGTTTTGGGTTTCTTTATGAACTATAATATGGAGGCTAAGAGTTTAACCTTTAGGAGGGGTTCAGCAGTCAGCCAAGTTAAGGGATTCGTATCGGGCACGAGACTAAGGCCCACGGCCAGAGCAGTAAAGGGTTCCTTAAAGGGCTCCTTAAAGGTATCTATAAGGGGTTCCTTAAAGGGATCTATAGGGGTTCCTTCGAAGGGATCTATGGGGACGAATCTTAAGCCAAGCTGGGGGTTTATCAGCCAGGGGTTTCAGGGATTATACCCTAGAATACTGGCTTCAAGCAACCTTCCATTTCGTAGAGTTTGGGGTGACAGGCACACCCTAAGCCCCTCCACACTAAACCCTGCGAGCCTTACGCCCTAACCCTAATCTTAACCTCGCCTTCCGTGCACTGCCAAGAGATACGAATGTTCCCCCAAGTTTTGTGGTGTAGGACTAAGGGGTGCTTGCTTTCGGGGGCCTAAACCCAGAACCCAGCACCCTAAAACCTAAACCCAGAACCGTAAACCCCAAACTCAGAACCCCAAACCCAGAACCCTAAACCCAGAACCCTAAACCCTAAGCCCAGAACCCTAAACCCAAGAACCCAGAACCCTAAACCCTAAGCCGTCATGGTGCGCCAGTGTAGTGATAGGACGGGACCGACCCTGGGAAGTGAAGTACTTGGAGGATCATGGGACTTTAGTAAGTCAGGTTATACGTACCTTAATTGGGGATATAAGTAGTTATACGTATGGTTACCTTATTTGTAACCCTAGTTACTAAGTCCCATGATCCTTTAAGTAGGCCAACTACTATTTAGGGGACCCACAAAGGGACCATAATTTTGACAACCACCCATATACCAGAATCGGTTTAGGGGTCGTAGTAGAACTTGAGGTATATTCCTTAACTCATGGATTTTGGAAGGTCTGGGTCTGCAGCATCTTGCAGACCTGACATGTGAATCCAAAACAAACCGTTTCAAGGGTTCGACCCCTGAGTTAAGAGTGGTCATAGCCTACTGTTTTTTTGTGGGGATCGGGATAACAGAAGAGACCTGAGCCCCACAACCCAACCTTCATAGAAGTACTGATGCTGCATTGTTGTCCCAGGTGATGGCTTCGTGGATAAAGATGAGTACGCCGCAGTCAGCTTAGCATGCCCCGGTGTTAGCCAGGAGCCTTGAAAAGTAGTGAAATGTTCGCTCAATCCGAAGCCACTCAAACCTTAAGGCCCTAAGGTAGGACGACAGTTTGGGGTCTCATCACCGTACACTCTCTGTGGTCTACTTCCTAGACCAGAACCTAAATCCCTCATACAAGGAACCTGAAAATCAGAATAGCGTTGGGGGGATATCATAGTATGATTACACTCAGGAACGAGGATGAAGCAGGGTGATTTCTGCCTTGATGAGCAGTGCCCATGAAAGTGAAGAGGTGTTGAGGCGAAGTTCACTGCGGTGACGGGTGTCTCATCGGCGATGGTTGTCTCGGCGACGGACCTGGGAGTCAACTTAAATCTCCAAAGGCTAGCCGTGGCTCCTAATCGACATCCGTGGATTTGCAGGCCCGTGTGACGAGGATGCTCATCAACATCCGCCTGGAGCGTTTGGAGGCTGATTTTGCCACGGGCTGCCACACGGAAGACTGTTTTCAGGCTCCGGGGACCTGATGCAGCAACAGCTGGCCGCCAGATTGAGCTGTTCAAGGCGCAGCTGTCTGCACAGGTCGACAAATTGTCGGCCATGCGTGGGGGGCGCCCCGAGCACTGGGAGACGATCCAGCCAGTCATTCACAACAGAAGCGCAGTTACAGCTGTTTGACCACCAGCTGGCCGCACAGTTAATGTGAGCTCGTGATTATTAAAGGTCCCCTCAATAGAGCTAAACTCGGCCCGGCACACAATAATAAAAGGTCCCCTCAATAGAGCTAAACTCGGCCCGCACACAATAATAAAGACCCCTCAATAGTCCTAAAACCCGTCCCGTCCTAAAATTTTTAAGGTTTAAGTAGAGAAGCACTCCTACTACAAACTGACGCCCTGGAAGAGGAGAGACAGAAACAGGCAAGATAAAGGACAGAGAGATAGCCAGCCAGCCAGACTTAAGGGTTTACAGCTTTGAAGAGCTCCCTGGTCCTGTCAAGAGAGGCACCTTGCTCCGCTTGAGAGCCTCTTTGCGCATGAGATACTTGAAGAGAAAATCATGATCACAAGAGAGGCAGCCCCCCTGCCAGCGGCAGCGAGAGCACCTCTGCAGGCCGAAGAGGTAGAGGTGCCGGATCTCAGAGACAGCTTCCTTGGAGAGATCGCTCCACCGGAAGAGGCTGTTGTTCTCTTCGAGAGTCTTTTTCGCTGCAGCCTTTGCAGAGGCCTTGAGCTTCGCAGAGGCTGCGAGAGCCTTGGCAGCCTTGGCCTGAGAGGCCTCCAGCGCTTTGGAGAGCTTCAGAGCCTTCTGCTGAGAGGCCTTGCTTTCCTCGGAGAGCTTGTCGCTCTCCTGGCAGCAGAGCTTTAAACCCTAACTATCACAGAGAACCCTCCCCACCCCAGCAGAGTCTCCTTCTGCAGAGCTTTCTCAAGAGGCAGAAGCCGCTGCTTCTGCCAGACCTTGCAGAGCTCAGCCGGCCACATTCGAGAGGCAGGTCCCTCGGAGAGGCTTGCAACGATCGATTCCATCCAAGAGAGCACGAACCACCCGCACTCGGACGAAGCTTGAAAAGTGTTGTTCACAGGCGGGAGAGCAGGGTCGAGCACCCCCAGCAGAGCAGCCACAGTCCTGGCCTGCTTCAAAGCATTCTCAGAGGGTGGGTGCAAAGAGTCTCTGTAAGTGAGAGACCAGGGCTCATCTGGAGAGGCCCTCTCCCCTTCCAAGAGCGTCCAGTGGTTGGGGCCCAGAGACCAGATGGGGCAGAGCAGGCGGCACTTTCCAGCCAAGACTTGCTCGAGAGCCTTGTGCGGCCAGTCAGAGCCTGCACTCACAACCTCGAGCTGGTAGAGCAGAGCGGGCTCGAGAAGAGCGAACTCCTTCGTCTCGAGAGGCCACGTCCAGGAGAGCAGCTCCCAGCCCCAGAGCAAGTGCTGTTCTTCCAAGAGAACACTGAAAGAGGTCGGGACCTTGAGGAGGACGTGGTCGAAAGACCTCTCTTCTAGAGGCATCTGAAGAGCACCGCTAACTCTCAGAATGGATCGTAGAGTCTCGCGGGTCATAGAGTTGAAGCCCTTCCAGTGCCTTGGAGAGGCCCAGCCAGAGTTCTTTGCCTGCACGAGAGAGGCAGGGACAGAGAAGCTCCCGTAGGCAGAAAAGAGGTGCAGCTTGCCGTCAGAGAAGCCCTTCACGTCCCCTTCTCTGCCGAAGAAGAGCGCCCCAGCCTCTTCAGAGACCACTCGCACCGTGGTGTTCAGAGGCAGCGGCCAAGAGCTTGCATCCACCTCGCCAGAGGTCTCCTCGCCGTTCTTGGCTTTTGCGACCATCTTGTCGGCGAGAGCCTCCGCTGCTTTCTTCTTAGAGTGCTTCTTCTTCTTTTTCTTCGCGGCAGAGGCTTTCAGCTTGAGGCTGGGCTTCGTCGTCACAGAGGGCTTCGTCACCGCGGAGAGCTTCGGCACCTTCTTGGCAGAGGCCTTGGCAGAGGCCTTCTCCGAGTCCTTGACGGTAGAGGCGGCCACCTTCTTCGCCTTAGAGGTGGTTGCTCGAGGCACGATGCCGGAGAGGACCTCTTTCTTGCTGCGTTCCTTCAGCTTCTTACCGAGAGCAGAGAGAAGCTTGGATCGCAGAACCCTCCTGACCAGAGCCCTGTTCTGGCGCTCCGCAGCCTTCTCTTTCGTCTTCTCCAGAAGAGCTTTGTAGTCTGCAGAGGTGGCCTCCAGCCGCAGATGTTTCCGACGGAGAGCCGGGGACAGCCTGAGGAAGAGGCTGTTGTTCAGCGGCAAGAGAAGCTCCTCCTGGATGCTGTCCGGGACGTCCAGAGAGTCATCGGCGCCATCTTCCGCAGGAGCCGGAGAGTCATAGCTCCACTGGATCAAGTCCGAGACGGCCTTGATGTTGGAAGAGAGCTTGAAGTCCGGAGGCTGCGGAACACCGTCTTTGGAGAGCCACTTGTACCGGTCGGAGAGCCAACTCTCTGGGATTCGTTTTGTTCCCACTCCCAGAGACAGCTCCTTGGCCCAGGCCTGGTCGCAGATTTTCACGAGAGCTCCGTTGCAGGGGCGGTACACCAAGAGTCCGTTGCGGACGGTGGCAGAGAGCACGAAGTCCTTCTCGGCCTGCCGCTTCTGCAGAGCACGTTGGGCAGCGACGGTGCAGAGGACTATGTGCTCGTAAGTCACCTGCCAGCGAAGGGAGAGATTCCAATTGTTTTCATTTAGTTTATTATTAGGTCCTAAGTAAGAGCGGCCTGGAAGAGACCCTTGTTCTTCTCTCTCCAGAGGGTCCGTTGCTCGGTCAAGGCTTCTCGGAAGAGTGACTTGAAAGAGCGAGCAAAGTCGGTGTCCGTCACCTGGAGATAGTGAGTGAGCTTTCCGAGAATCTCGACAGAGGCCTGGTTCACGACCTGCTGAGTCTGCTGGACTTCAGAGGAGAAGATGGCCGCGAAAGAGTCTCGGATGTAGAGCGAGCAAGGTTCTTCAGAGCCCTGCTGCTGCACCACCCAGTTCAAGAGCACACCGTCCATGTTAGAGGCAGGTTGCTGCATTATGTCGATCTCAGAGAACTCCTGCGGGTAGAGAGCCCGCAGTTTCACAGCCCACTGAAGAGACCGGCATTTCTCGCCAGAGAGGTGCACAACCTCAGAGTTCCCCACACGGTACCACTCCATGGAGATGTACCGGCCTTCAGAGTCCAAGTTCGAGAGGCGGCAGTGCTTCCCCGGGAACACCAAGAGACCAGCGGACACCTCAGCAGAGGGAGTGCCATCACCGCAGAGGCCGTGGATCTTCTGCCGGGCCTCATAGGTGATGCGGAACTTGTCCGCCTCAGAGTGTGCTCGCTTGACCTTAGAGCCGGGCTTGAGCTTAGAGTCGGAAGGCTGCTCGTCCATGTCTCCCAAGACCTGGAGAGGTCCGTCTTCGCCCAGACTTTCCTCCAGAGCTGTTCGGGCAGCCTGAAGCTCCTGGCGAAGAGAGTCTCCGCTGCCAGGATGAACTTGCAAGAGCTCATCTTCGCTGAAGAGAAGCTTCTTCGGCTGAGCTTTGGCCCAGAGCGGCACCTGGTCGCTCATGCCGAGCACAAAGTCTTTGCGAGAGTTCAGGACAGAGGCAGGGTCGGCCACGAGCTTTTCAGAGGCCAGAGCCTCCTCAGAGGCACACGTCATGGCCCAGAGGGCCCGATCACAGGCCTGGAAGGTCAGCTGAGAGCGTACCTTCTCCTCGGTGGGAGAGAGGTGCGTCACCTGCTCCGCCACCAAGAACTTCGCACCAGAGTCCGTCACCAGGCGGTCCGTCAAAGAGAGCCGGTACTTCTTTGAGGCCAAGAGTTTGCGCTTCCTGTCCAGAGCAAGCTTGGCCAGCTTCTGCAGAGAGTGCTTCTCAGGGTCTTCGTGAGGCAAGAGTTCGGCCTTTCGAAGCAGAGCCTGGCTTTTCTGCACCAAGAGAGTCAAGTACTCCGCAAAGAAGTCCTGCTTGGAGACAGAGTGGCCGTGTTGCCTTTCAGTCGCATGCCACTGCTTCAGAGCGGGCAAGAGGTCGGGAAAGTCCGCCTTGCGACCGCCGCCCTTTTGCCGCATGTAGCGACAAGAGCGCTTGGCCTTGCGAGAGGCTCTGCTCTTCGGGTGGAGCTTGTGCTTCTCCACGAGAGCCTCCCAGACGGCCTTCTTGCCAGAGTACTCCTTGAGAGTCTGCACAGGGAGGCCGTACTTTTCCGAGAGTTGCTTCCAGTGCTTCTGCTCAGAGACTTCGGGCGAGCGAGAGCCCGCCTCCTGGCAGAGGAGCAGCTTCTCGTAGGCGGTCAGCTCTCTTCTTGCAGAGACCTGGCCACGTACTCGCCTGTTGCTGGAAGAGGGAGCTGTGCCAGAGCCAAGAGGCCGACCGCCTTTGTTGAAGCTCTTCTGCACCACAGCTTCAGCCCTGTCAGAGAGAGCGTCCTGGTACTCCCGAGCGAGAGCTCGCAGTCGCTCGTAAGCCTCAGAGTGCCTGTTCCGAAGAGTCGCCTTCACA